CCGCTCACACTGAGCCTGGTTCTGCTGGAGGTTTTCGTCCTGGTAAAACTGAGTTTTTCCTCTCCACTGTCGCTACAAGCATGCTTGATGTGAGGGATTGCTGAAGAGTCACTGAATCGATGCAATCAGCTGCTTTTCCTAAGATAGAAAACTTTGAATCCATTTGACTGGATGATGCCCTGTTGGGGGCGCTGCAGGAGTACAGAGACTGGGGCCCTTCACTAGGGGCCATTGGTCCTTTGTCATCGATTCTCTTCAGAAACCTTCATGGGTGGGATTTCTTGGCGCGGCCAAGGATAAAAGGGGGCGTGGTTTAGGGACCAGCAGATTCCGTCCCTTCTTCTTGCTGTTGACGTGGTTCTGCTGGCTCCTTCCTGCCAAGTGGGAGTCAGCAAATATGGGCTGGTGGCTTGAGGGATCATATAATCTTCAGACATTCATTTTTTTTCTGTCATGCTTTATCCCAGCCGGGGTCGCTGGTGCCTATCTCTAGCTGTCTACCGGCGAGAGGCGGGGTAAATCCTGGAGAGGGCGCCAGTCCAACGCAGAGACAAAAAAAACACTCACACACATAACGAGAATTTAGGAATTAAATATATTTATTTAGGAACAGTCATGTGGCAGGAAGCCGGAGTCCCTGGAGGCAGAAAGAGCCTGGGTCAGGAATCGAACCCGGAACCTTCTTGCTGCAAGGCAGCAGTGCTACTCACTGTGTCACTGAGGAGCCCAATCTTCACACCATTGCAGACAAACTTCTGCAATGTAGTTTTAGTTTAGGTGAATTTCTACAGAGTGAATTTTGTCCAATAAGAGACGCCTGCAAAGAAAGATAATGTTTTATGAACGGAAATGTGAAAAAAACAAAAAAAATCTAATATTTTTTAATATTGTAGTTTCCATATTTCAGTTTTCCTCTCATTTCCTTTTCATACCGAATTTTATTTATTGGATTTTTTTTTAAATGTTTTACGGATTATATTCTTTACTTCAACGCCAAATCTAAAGTGTTTTTGTTAAATTAATTTCTAGACTGCATCTTTCTCAAATGTCCATTTATAAAACCTGTTCTCTCACAACAATAATGGAACAAAGTTCACTCCATAAATTTCTTTTAAATTTCTGCCACTGTTTTTTTTTTTTTTTTCATTCTGTGAATTTCTGCAGAAGATTTTTTTCTGGAACCATTTTTACAGGTTAAAATCTTGCTGATGAAAATAAAGTAGAAAAAAATCCAATAAATAATTGCATAGAATATAGTGTTCTAGTTACAATATTTTCAAAAAGGTCTAATTTGACTATATTTCTTCCATATCACTTCATTACTGCATTGTTTAGAACCAGCCACATTCTTAAACAAGACCAAAAAAAGCCCGGCTCTACGGTGCCAAGAGCCCCAAAATGAAACCTCTGCTGTTTAATTCATGATGAGTCATTATGTCTGATTTAACATCTCTGACTCTTTCTTCTCCTGCAGGTATAACTTCAGGCTTGTCTACATTTTCTCCTATAACTTATTCCAGTTCTGCTGTCACACATGGATCCTGGCTAACACCATCGCAAGGTTTCTCACCTTTGGCCAAGGTAAATTAAAACGAATAGTTCCATCCATTTTATCCGGCATGGTGACGGTGGACGGTGGTAGTTAATACCCATTTATCCCTTTAGTTTTGTGCAAAAAATAGACGTGCATCCCTTTGGTCATGCACAAAAAAACTATTTCATTACCTACTTTTTGGTGTTTTAATGAAGCGTATGGCAATTTTTCCTTTAAATGTTTTTTTTGTACATGACTAGAGGGATACACGCCCATCGAGGTAGTTTCAAGTCTATTTTTCGTACAAAACTAAAGGGATGAACGCAAATCTGATGTCTTGCACATGACTATTGACTATGGGGTATGCTGATCTGACAGAAAACTGGGTCTAAGGGTGAAAGGCAAGGTACACTCTGGACAGATTGGCAGATCATCGCAGGGCAGAAATACAGACGTGCACACTCACCTAAGGGCAATTCAGAGACTCTAAAAAAGATTTTGCTAGCCTTCCCAGTCAGTTGACGTATATACAGCATATCAGTCTGGTAAAGAGCTGGTAGAGCTCGATTTCAAAGGCGGGACCGACAGATTCAGCATCATCAGGTAAGAACCAGATAACTATGGATATGACAAAAACCTACAAGCAATGTGCTCTGAGTTTGAAATATTGGATTGCGTGAAACATGTGAAGCCGACAATAGCAAATAAGCCACTAAACCTTTCCGTTGTTAAGCATTTTAAATTGGATAAATCCCATTTAAGCCGGGCAGTTGCACGCAGCTACAGCTCAAACTGTACGATGAAACCGCAGGGTTTAGAAGTTCACAGCTCACGACGCATGTTCATAAAATTTGCGACCCGACGCTCTGATGCGATCTACCTGCTCACACTGTACGTCCAAAAACCACACGTCGGACTCAGAGCCGAAAGATGGCGCTGGTCGGACTTCTCAATCTGGAAAAAGAAGAAGAAGAATTCCCTTTTTTGCACATGCTCAGTGCTCGAGGTTCTGGTAAATCGGCTCGTAGCTCTGCTTCTGCAGCAGGATTTGTCCACGAACACCTCACGACGGCCGACTGAATTTCAAGCATGTTTGATTTTCTCCCGGTGTTACGATTCCTGATCAGGAGGTGGTCGTCAGAAGCTAATGGCTCCTCGTTACCCCCTGTATACTAGACGACAGATTGCACGAGAAGGCTGAAACCTGGCCCAATCGAAAAAATCTCGCACGACTAGAGAATCGCCCCAAAAAGGGCAAAAAATCGTACAGTGTATCCCCAGCTTTAAGACATCAGAAAGGACATTACTAAAACTTCTTACTGTTGCTGTTGCCATCTTGCGGTTAAGGTAGCAGAAATGCGCTGAGATATGCATCGTAAAGTCCCGCCCTCCTGCACTGTGATTGGCCAGATCTCGCCGGAGTCAACGGCGGTTTACACGGAATATAATTCACTCTGGCTAACCGTTTGGTCCCCCCCAAACACTGGACATAATTTAGACGTTGGTTTTTAGGGTAAATCTGGTCAGTTCTTCAAAGTCTTGATTTAGTCCAGAAATAGTTGTTGAAAATTAGGCTGTGTTTGGTCGTTCTGGTTTTTTTAACTTAATTTCAGATTTTAACTTAAAATCTGTGTCGCTGGGATTAGAATTAAAAATGCCACTGAAATTTAAATTTTGTATGTTTGTACTTACTGTTTCAGTGTTAAAATATATTCGGAACACATTTTTGATCTAAAAAAAATTGTCATTATTTTTACACAGTTGAAATTTCATTTATTTTCTCTTCAAGCTAAAAATTAACATTACTATTTCAAAGTGATTACATTTTCAATACGTATTTTTCAGTTTAATTTTTGAGTGTTAAAAAAATCAGCATATAAAAAAATTCCTTCCGTATGAGCGCCACAAGCGTCACGTGACTAAGAAAACGTAACGGGATTGGCTGGGTGTTGGACGCCACAATCCATTGCTAATGTCTGTGACCTGAAGTAACCCTTCCCTTTTTACACTGAATTTAGATGACGAATTTAAGACGGTGAAATAGAGCCAGTTGAATCTCAGGAGGCTGAAAATATTGAGTTTGAATTTTGAAAGGTTGAATTTTTTTATATGCAGATTTTTTTAACACTCAAAAATTTTAACTGAAAAATAAGTATTGAAAATGTAATCACTTTGAAATAGTAATGTTATTTTTTAGCTTGAAGAGAAAATAACTAATTAAATTTCAACTGTGTAGAAATAATGACAATTTTTTTTTAGATCAAAAATGTGTTCTGAATATATTTTAACACTGAAACAGTTAAAACAAACATACAACATTTAAATTTCAGTGGCATTTTTAATTCAAATCCCAGCGACACAGAGTTACTTCCATAGTTTTAACTTAAGTAAAAAAAAAAAAAAAAAAGTAAAATTCCTAAATTATAAGTGTATATTGACCTCATAAGAAATATAATTTTATAGAACCTAATTGAAAAGAAATTTCCCTTCATGCAGCTCTCTTAATATATTTGAATCTCTTGCCCTGTTTTTTATTTTTCTGGGCCCCCATGAAAACACTCTGGCCCCCTCCTGGCCCCCTGGTACATTTGGTCTAGATCCGCCCCCGTTCCTCCCCTTCACTAGACGTGGATATACTTTAGTATATTCTGCTGTAAAATTAGTCCTATATTTTCGTGTTTTACTCGAGGACTGAACCTCTGCCGTTTCGTATGATGCACAGCTTTGAGTGGTAACAAATACGCTGCACAGGATTCACCAGAAACCTCCTTCTCACACCCCTCTCTCTTGTTGTCTCCGCAATCGAAGCAGTTCTTATCCGCACGTGATGCACGACTTATTGTACTGCCTGCTCGCTCTCACTTGCATAAAAAAAAACACCACCTCCTATAGTCTAAAATCCAGGATAATTCATCGAACCCGCGGACATCCGTGAACAACTATCTATATCAGGGAGACTCCGGGATCTTCCTGGAGACTTGGGATGTCTGAGGAAGAAAAACCTGTGGTTTCATTCTGGGTCTTTTAACCAGGCTGCATTAGGGCTCATAGAACAGCAAAGATGCCATTTTCAGCCCAACCAATGTTACACACCCTATTAGAGACCTGAAGGACCAGATACCCGATAGAATCATTCTATCAGCCCTTTAAGGTTGTGCTGAACGGTGTTGAAATGGGGTACTAACCTAATACCTAATCAGTGTAACGGATTTTCTCTGGGTGAATTGCATGTAACGTTCTCGGCAGATGCTTTGGCGGACACCTTTTACTCGGTGGGCTTTGTGATGAGCCTCTGCCAGCTGCTCTCCATCCTGGAGGTCTTCCACATCGCGGATGGGATCGAGAAAGCTCGGCTCCTTCCTCGCTTCATCCAAGTGTGTGCACCAGTCCGCTCATGAAATCTCTTTTTGACCGTATGCGGTCTTTGGTTCAATCTGTCCTTTTTTCTTTCTTTTGTTTAGGTGATGGAGAAGAACATTCTGCTGATCATGGTCATCATGTTGGAGGAGATCCAAAGTAAGCCAGTCGTGTGTGCGCAGTTCTTCCTGTGGAACATACTGGACCTCTTACGGTGAGGAAACAGCCACTTACAAATACAACTATATCTACACCGAAATGGTTTGAACCACCCAAGTCATAAAACAGGACTGGGGAGGGAACTTTATCAGAGCAGTCATCAGTTGGGCAATAACAAACAAGAACTTTTGAGGTGCATTGGAGCGGTTTCCTTAGGTTGGCACAGTGCATCACTGCCTGCAGCCTCAAAACAACCAACATGGCTTCTCCAGCCTGATGTGACCATCTTTTTTCCAATTCTTGTTATTGCGGGTTGCCTCTGATTAAAAAACATAGATGTTCTCAACAGAGAAAAACAAGATGTTGAGCTGGCAAGTGGGTGTCCTGTTTTATAGTTGTATGAATCCTTGACAGTTGCATAGGGAAAACGCAAAGATTGAAAGTGATGATTACATTACATGGAGTTTCAGAGTGACTAGTTTAGAAAATAAGACTAGGGAACATTTGAATAAACAACATAAAAGTAGATTTACTGCCAACTTTTCAATAGCTGGGCTGCAGAGACAAAATATTATAGTACCAAATCCTTGATGACAATGTGGACAGGAAGCCAGAGAGACTGCCAAGTCTTTAATATGATCCTGCAGCCATGTTTCAGTGAAACACACAATACTGCATTCCTAATATTCTGGCTTAGTCGTAGCTAAAGGAAATTGTTTTTCCAATCTTGCCTCTGTAAAGATCTCATATTGCCCATAATTGATGGAAGTGAAGACTTGAATTTTCGCCTTCTCTTTCTTCTTCCTGCTCCAGCCATTTTGTGTCTGGGGACAGTCATTTTAAATAAACTAAATGTTAGGTTCAAAAATGTAGGTTTGTAAAAGAAGAACTGAAATACACAGTAAGGGATTTTCAAACAGCTTGCCGCAGGAGGAGAGACAGAGCTGCACCCAACTCACTACTCTCTCTCCGACCCCCCTCCTTGCAGTCGTCTTTTATTAACAGAACATAACACATGGTTACAAACAGAGTATTGTTCTGACAGAACAGTTGATCAGGTCATAAGATAGGAAGCTCTCCTCTTGACTGAATCATAAGACGGAGTGAAGCATCTCATTTCTACAATGTTTCATATGAACACACATTAATTTTATAATCATCATTGAATAAACACTAAACATTACAGAGCTTTATATTTGTTTGTTTGTCAATAAAGAATAATAGCTCCAGTTAAAAACTGTCTAAAAACAGAGTATAAATCATCTTAATGGTCTCCTGATATTTTGATGTCACCCTTCGTAATCCCTACTTGATATTTCAGGTAGGGGCAAAATTGGGGTCTAGTCCAGGATGTTAGCATGGGTAAATTCTCTCCGGGATACAATGGATTTCCAAACCGACATTAATGTGAGGTCTCATTAGTGACATCCAAACCCTTAACTACAACATTTACAACATCACCCCCTGCCCTATGATTTGCCAGTTGCTACATCACCTGCCTAGATATCCACCGTAGATGAAAATGAGCTCATGATGGAAATAGTGTCTCTAGAAGAGAATCCATTACATGATACTAAATCCACTGCGCAGCATGTCTGGCTCTTACACTGGTGTTTGAAAAGGAAGTGTAATGCACACCTGATGCATTCATTCTGTGTTAACTGAATTACTCGGGCCTAATGTGGAGGAGCAGAAAATGAACACAAAAAAAAAAAAAAGCTGAAACATTCTCAGTTTTGATTCTGTTATAACATGATGCTTCCTCCCTAATCTGTGTAAAAAGGTTCAACATATCAGCTTCTCTCAGTCACAACTTGATATCTATGGTTTAACAGATAACTGTTTTTACAGTGTTACTGACTCCGTCTACTTCTGATATATGGATGAAATCATTATTTCTTTATCAAACAACACAATTTATTAATCTTTTAGTCACAGGGCCTAAAGTATTTCCTAAGTAACTGTTTAGTCCAAACCGTCTTTTGTTCGTCTCACCGGTGTTCTGTCAGCCCAGCATACCCTCAGTAATACACATGCGAGCATGCTTGTTATTAGCGGTTAGCAGGCCTATAGAATGGCTTCAGATTGTGCCAGTAGGCTCAGTAGGCTGTTATCACCAAGCAGTGGCGGATCTAGGGGGGGCGGCTACGAGGGCTACAGCCCCTGATAGTTCGCCATGAGCCCCGGGTCTCGCATCTGAGCTGATCTGAGTAAAATGTGCAGAACTGGAATTCACCAAAGAGTGGAAGCGTGTGCAGGAAAGCAGCCTGTAGCATTCCCGTGCAGAAAAGAAGTGTTTCCCTCTCGTTGCTGCCAGCTTTTAGGAGTCTAGCGCCTCTGCTACAAATTTTTAAACAGGCTAGCAGTGGAAATCAATGGATATCAGAAGCTTTTTCACAAAGCAGCCCACTGCACCAGCAGCTAAACAGACTGATGTCACAGGTATGCAAAGCTGTTGAGGTCTTGTGCGAAATTCTGTACCTCCCGTGTCGGGAGCGTGCATCTTCACGGCGCTTCTGATCGATTTCCGGTTTCATTTGCTCTTTATTTTCCATAGATATGGGAGGAGGAGAGGAGAGAATGGATATTTCAGCTGAATTTAATAATCTGTTCCTCCTTCATAACATGGGAAGCAATTAATGTACCTTTATTCCTCTCTTTATCAACAACAAATCCTCTGGATTTGGTGACATTTGATCAATATTTGCCTAAACTGAAGGAGAGGAACCATAGATTTTAGCTAACTGAAATAAGCTGTTTCCCCTTTGATTATCTTTTTGAAATTTATTTTCTGTTTAAATGTTTATCTAACAATTTACAAATATTCCAAAACAAAAGTTTGTTAAGGTTTTACATGGTTAATTAATTTGGTTTTAGTTTTTTTTTTTACTGGGTGTTTTTTACTATTTTAGCGGTGCCAGTCAGGTATCCCTCCTTTTTTAAACCAGTCACACAAGGACTATACACTTCTGTGTGTAGACTCTTTCAAATAATGAACGAAAACTTTTCACAAATAGACCAACAAAACATTTGGCTTAACAGTTCTTGTATTTGAAAAAGAAAAATTAAATATATAGCCACCAAAAACTAATCACAAAATTCTTCCCCACAAAATAAATGTCCATTTTTATCCAAGGTAGAATGGCTCCAATATAAATCGCCCCACAGCAAGAGCTGTGAATAAACAAAAGAAAAAAAAAACATAGGAGCCTATACACAACTAAAGTCCTACAATTGCATAAAAAACACCACAAACAAACAAACATAGAATTACGGAAGAGGATTAGGGCCACTGAAAAAAAAAAAGTTAACTGATTTTTACATTTTATTTCAGTTTAACATGGGGAAAAAAGTCAGAATTCTGAGATTAAAGTCAGAATTCTGAGATTAAAGTCAGAATTCTGAGATTAAAGTCAGAATTCT